AAAAAAAAAAAAAAAAAAAAAAACCCAACAGGTTTAATATGCCAAATTCCAATGGGGTTGCATTCTTCCTCTTATCATATTGCAAAATGTATGCATGCAGAATGACAAGGATACGGATCACACTTCCCTGATATTTTTGACATTGCAACCAAGAAGTAATTGCACCACGTATGAGCAGTGCCATGAATATATTCAACACAATTTTCTGAATATTCTATTTGAGCCAGAAAAGACATTGCAGTACACAGCAGTCACACTTCTCCTCCTGCAGCCTGCTGCAAAACTCCATCACACTCTCTTTCCATGTAACTACCAGGATTCAGCTTGTCTCTCTACATTCTCAGACTATTTCTTTCAAATTTTCTTTCACTTCTTGTGTTGCTGAGGAGAACTTTCTATAGCTATTAATTCCTTATTAGTTAAATACTAAATCTCTATGAAACCTTATTATACCCACCAAATTAAACAGATCTCCTTTACTTTTATTATTTTTTAAATTTTTTTTATTTTTCCCTACACTGAATGATTACAAAATAAAATTAAAGTAGGAACGAGGTAAGAGCCTGCAGATAGAGACAGCATTTTTCAAGATGGGCTTCCGGGAGTCTCTGATATTTGTAGAAAACATTAACACTCTGCTCCCAGGTCAAACACTTCCCTATTCTGGGGACCTCCTGTGCCTGGCACAGCTGGTATGGGGCTCTGCTCTCCATTGTCCCTAAGCAGTGCTACCTGTGTTACAGATGCTGCAGAGTGGCAGGTGAGACAGGGACTTCATTGAATGAGACACACAGAACAACTAACAGAAATGCTTAATAGTTATTGACTTATAATGCCAAAAAAATCTTGCTCCAGCATAGCCACAGCAGCCACACCAACAAGCCATTCTAAATACCAGCAAGCTTTGAGAACTGTTTCTCTTGACATCTGTGTCAACCACTGTAACATACCTCTAGGGATAAGTATTATTTGAATACGAGTTGCATTGTATTTGAGAATGCTTTATCATCTTAAATTTGAAGCCTTTTAAAACTACATTATAAAATGCATTAAAGAAAACTGAGAAATAAATTAAATCAAATTTAGATCCTATTAAATTCAAGTTAATGGAAAATGCACTACTGGCTTTACTCAGATCTCAATGAGACCACAGATGTCTCATTTTCTTTCCAAACTCTATTGTTAAAAAAAAATTAGTTTCTCTTTATTCCCACAAACCAGAAATAACAATCAAAGTATAATGATTATAACCAGGAACTGACTTTATGAACACAATAAATATACAACTACGGAATTTTACTTTCCTATGTTTCTGTTTACTGGCTTTTGCAGGTACATGCATGTCAGTTCTCCTCTCTAAATCCAGTTGAGACAACTCTAATTTAAATATTTATATCCACCAGAATCTTTTAATGTAAATTGTTTGTCTTTGAAATTACCTTGTTCATTCAAACAGAGTTTCAGTGGGGTAGGAAAGCATGGCTATGAAGGGTCAGGTATGGAAATTGAAGGCAATTAGCTGTAGGTGCTGGCTTTCTGAATGCCTTACAGACCACCAAGCACATATTCTGCATTTAATGAAGAAGAATTAATAATTAATCTTGAGTTTTTGGCAAGATACCATCTAGGCAAGAGCTTAATGCGTTTGAACCACTGCTCCCCATCTTGAAACAGGAAATTGGATTTCTGTTTCTCTCTGGCTGACACTGTGGAGTCAATAATATTTCTCAGGGAACTAAAGGAAGTGCTGGTGATGCTGATGTTTTCAAGAGAAGGGTCTGATGCAGACAATCATGGTTAGGATATATCTCCTGTGCTGCATGACATAATTTCCCCATGTGTATACTCTAACAGTTGCCTGACTTCATCCCTCAGCAGTCTGGGGTTAGCAGCTTCTTTAACATGCCCTGGCTCATGATCCCAAAGGTTTCGGGCAGAAAGAAAGAATGTTTTCTGAAGGGTTTTCTGTGCCTCTAACATAAGCTCTGAGTAGCATTTTGTACTGTCTTCATGAAAGGGTCCTTGGTACTTTGGGGTTTGACATTTCTCAGCCTCAAATTCACTGTCTCCTGGACCCTGCTTAAACCTTTTTGCTTAAAATCTTCTATCAAATATTGAACTGTAGTGTTTGACTGAAGGTTAGTTTTACCTTCCCATGGTGAAAGTGAGAAAAACAACACTTTGCATCCACAGTGGCAGTAGAATTACTATTGCCTTACCCCTGGGAGCAACCTGCCTCCCAAAAGAAAAGAGAGAGAAAACTGCATGTCTATGGAAGGAATGAGAGGTGGAGTTCTGGGGAATTCCATCATCTCCTTTGTCCTGCTGATAGCTCCTCTGGGATGGCTCTATCTCCTGAATCTCCTTCCTCCTCAACCTCCTGTTTACATGAACCTGCTACAGGAATAAAGGAGGGGGAAAAAATCCCACCCATTATGACTATGGGATGACAATGAAAGGCTTCTAGGTTTGCATATAGCGGCAGGGATCCTCATTGCCTCAGCACTTCATTTTCTGCCAGTCTGACTCTGCTCAACTTCAGGTTTTTCCATGTTTGCATTCTCATTTTAATGGTGAATAAAATGCTTCTCAGAGTAAGCAAAGTAGATCAGTGACCGTAGAAGAAACATCACTTCAGTCTCTATTACGTCACATAATGAAAAAAAACTTTTTTTTACATTGACTCAATGTCACATGAAAACTCAGTTTGGTAGAGTACTAGGAATATCACCTCTTGCACATGATTTAACACACAAATATCCTTTCCAGTAAACCCTTTTGCTATTCAAATTCATCTGAAAAGCCTAAGTTATTACTTTGTAGTACACCATGCTTTGCAATATACCGTATTTTGTAGAATATCATATTTCTCACTTTTTTGGGGTAAAAAGGAACAATTATAGAGTATGTACAGCTCAGAATTATATCCAGTTTTCTCAGAACAAGGTTTTTTAATTTCTATCTGAGCTACAGAAAGGAATATACCACTGAAAATTTTGGTAGTTAGGTAAGTTCTAATCAAATCTATGAACTCTGGGATACACAATTAAAAACCAAGACATTAAACTTGATCCTTTCCAAGTCTTCAGAGAGTTTTTGTTTCTAGTTCTGTGTGAAAAATAGAGAGGAAACCTTGTAGGGTTAAACGTATTTTTTACCTGACTGTATTCATTCAGAGGTTATTAATATACTTAGTGTTTTTGTTGAGGCTTATAACAAAAAAACACCAACAACATCACTTGAAAACATCCAAAAAGGTGGAAATTTCCTGTGTCAGCAGTTAAAGACCTAATGTTGACAGTCTGTTTCTGAAGAGCAATGCGACTTGGACATGTAAACTAATCTCCGGCATCTCCATTTTTTGACGTTTAATGTTATACACTTCTAGACTCCTTTGAGACTTACAAACAAGAAAATGTGTAGCATGTATACTAATTATCATTATTCTGATTTAAATAAAATTACCAAAAGAAAAATTCAAATATTTTGTTTCTTCTAGTTAGTGCTTGTATTCCAACCTAAAATTATCCAGGGGCACATTTGTCCAAGATGCTACCTCATATTTCGCACATGAAAATGACTCCATGGTGATAGATCAGATATCTTTCATGCCCCAAATATGAAGAATTGCCTTTATCTAACTGATTCTGCTCTCAGTTTTGAGTTTGGGATTAACAAAGCCAATATAAACTTAGTTCATAGTTCAGTAATTAATTGTTTGGAAACAATTCATTGTAAATAGTTCTGTATTTATAGCTACTGCGAAACAATGAAGATAACATCTGAGAAGGCTCCAAGTGAAGCAGGAAGACACTGCAAAGGATGTGCCATTGTCATTATTAATAAAGCTTCTGTCTGACTGCAGCACAAGGTGAGAGATTAGTATCAGCTGTGTCCCTGGAGGGACGAGACAATGCAGAGCTGCAGTGAAAAGAAGAGTAACACACCCTTCTGAGACAGTGTACGTGGAGGATGAAGCGTCTCCATGGTTGTCCATCTCCATTTGCACAAATGTCATGGCATTTGCAGAACAGATCTTTTGGCCAAACTGTATTTATTCAGTGTCAGAAGAAATGGTTCTTTTCATTTTACATTAACACCACAAGCTCACATTGTGACTTCATTAATGGAGGTAGAAATGCTCTTTCATGCAGACACCCTAGACAATAAATTCTGAGTAGCTTGCAATCCCTTCAGAAAATATCTACAACTTTATTAAAGAATGTTCATATAGGACAAAAAAATAATAAATAAACCAAAAATAGCAAGGCTGATGAGTATCTCTTCCTGATTTCCAAAAATGGGAAGATTTAGTGAAACTAAACCGGATGACAAAACCATTACTATTTCTGAGAATAAACTGCAATCCAGCCCCAATATGTAGAAGCGGAAATTGCTATTGCTGTGAGTATACATTTTTTTACCCTTTATATAAACAAGCCTTAAAGAGGGACAGGATGTGAGCACACCCATCCTCTGGTGAGTACACTAAATCATCATGCAATTTTTTTGTTCTAGATCAATAAATCTCAAATTCTCTAGACAGATAAATACAATAGGGAGGCTAGGAACGAGCTCTTAGGGGTGGCAGTTTCTTAATCCACACAGTACAGCCAAACCAGAAAGACTCACTGTTTGTTCAGTGGCTTCTCTAAGGTCACCCATGCTCTGTCTACTATGCCAAAACAAGGAGAGATCTCTGGTTTTATTGTCACTGACTAACTTGTACCCAGATTGCTAGAGTCTCATCCTTTCTATAGCGCATATATCTCGGAAAGGTTGGCGTAGTTAGGAACAGAGCCAGAGAACTAGTGCAGATAATCAGGGGTTAATTTAAGATAGGATTGTTAAGGAATAACTGCTCTGAATATGTAATAATAGTGATTACAAACAAAAAATGAACTAATCATTTGAGGTGTGTTTTGTCTATAAATACCAATCCAATAAAGTCATGTTTCAAAGGCTAAAACAAGCCTGATTTATCATTCAGTCTTCTATACAACCCTCTCACAGCAGCCTGTAATTTGCTGAAATATAAATATTTATACATAAATATATATACACACGTATTGACTTGCAACAAAAGATTCAGTTCTTCAACTTTGTCTTTGGCAATCCTTTGTTTGGCTGCATAGAAATAACATTTGTTCTTCTGAGAGTGCATGCAAACGCATACCATAAGGTATGGTACAAAAACTGACACCTACACGACAAAAAGATTTGAAAGGCAATTTTAAAAAAAAATAGAGCATATGGAAATACACTTTGTATTTTATTTGTACACACTATAAATACAGTTTGCACACGTTATAATGTGTATCACAGTGTACATTGTATTTGAGTTTTTCCATTGCGAGGTACCTTCTCCTCCCATTTGACATACCTAATTTATAATTTACAGAAAACATACTTATCAACATCTTACATGACATTCATACAAAAATTACTATATTGAAATTTTTTATTAGCATGGCAGGGGCTGTCTCATATGATAGGATACATAAAATCCTAATATCTTGCCTTACTTTGCTCTCCTATTCCTGTGTCTCCTTGTCCTTAAATTATCAGTTATTATCATCAATCGTCTTGCCTTCACCACGTTTCCAAAGTCTCCACTCCTGTGGTTCATCCTCCCTACTACACACTCAATCTTCCTGTGGCCAAATTCACTTCCCCCTCCTCTCTTGCACTTCTCCAAGCCATCCCCAGCTCCCTGCTCCCTACACACCATCACAGCCCAGTCAATTCTTTAATCTTTTCTTTCCCAACTCAGCCTTTAATTGACCTTCCTATAGGAACTGTTGCCAGCCACCACTTCCCTCTCCTCCTCTGCCTCTTTTGCTGGTCAACCCGGGTGGGAGAGGAGGAGCAGGAGATGAAAACAGGAGACAGCCTGTCTCCCTGCCAGGTGGCCATGTGGAGGCACGGGGCTGTGTGGTGCCGGTGGTGGGGGCTGAAAATCTGCTGAACACATGAGAAGCTGGGAACTCTTGGGAAAGGAGGCGATCCAGAAGGGAGACCAAATGTAGACATCATCAGTGCACACCATTTGGCAAACTCATAGATGCTAAAAATTGAAAAGCAGGGGGAGGAAGCTGAGTTCCTGCTAAGTCATCTTGTGCAAAATATGTGTCAATCACATATTCTAAATATGTGATCAATCACATGATTCTAAATCACTACCTGATCCTACCAGTAGCATTCTGTAGCTTTGCATTTAGTAAATGTAAATGCTTTGCACTTAGTTCTCCATACTCCAAGAGAACCCAGGCTCATGAAATATGCATATACTTATAATAATATAATGCATTTACTTTACTACATTGTGGTTAGCTCTTCTTTAAATTTCTATAAAGATTTTTACCTGCCACTGAAAATAACTCTGTATCCTTTTCCTCTAACTGAAACATAACATGCCTGAGAGGATTGAGAGTCATTTTTCAGGTTTATTTATTATTCTTTTTGATGAGAGGTGGTTTGAAATGAAATAACTTCTGACAAGCTCTTTCCTTGTCATTTGTTCTTATTTGGTGAGGGTGAGGGAGGTGGAGAAGGGGGTGAAATCTGCATAAGTAGATTTTATTTTGACAGTAAAAACTCTTTCCCCAAATGCGAAAGAAGGATGTTGGAAATTAAGATTAGTCTCGCATGTGTGGACAGACCATACAGTTATCAAGAATTATTCCATATGCAGAAGTTACATATCAATGACTTAATTTGTTAACTGGCACCCAGTCAAACCTCAGAGCCACCCAAGGTAGAGAAAAAATATATCCAGCTTGCTGATTCTTAGCCAATCTTTCTTTGTTCTTTTTTCATTCAGAGGAAAGGCCTTTCAAAAACACTTCATTTCTCTGCTACATGTATTCATATTCTCTTTTGATATTCATTCAGTTGCACAGCAAAGAATTTTATGCTCAGCCATAGCAAAATGTGTACAGACAAGCTCAGTAGGACTTCTCATGTTGTGCTGTCAACACTGCACAATGCCAGTCCTTTTTAAAATATAAACTTTATGGAGAAAAAGGTTCAGACTTTTGGAGCAATTGATATCTAGTGATATCAAATGAATTGAAGATTTTGCATTACATTATAAGGTTAATGGCTTGCAGAAACACTGATTCTGGCATTGGAGGTACCATGAATACAAATGTGTGAAATACATGAATATCTATCAATTATTCATCCCAGACCTATGATTTTGATATCTTCTTATATATTTTATAATTTAATAAAATACAAAAGATACCAAAAAAAAAAAAAAAAAACTCAGGTGTGAAATCCTGAAGGATATGATTTGCTATGTAGCACCTTTGTCAAATAAAGCATTTCTTCCTCAACATGCCCTAAATATTTTCTGAAATCGAGAAACTGAAATCCAAAATAATGGAAAATTTGACCAAAGTATAACTCTTTCACACACACTCCTCCCACTTACATTAAAGCTAGAGTTTTGTCATGATGTTCAAAAGAACTTTGATGGATTATTTGTGAATATAGGTCTAAATGCTTACTACTGAAGAACATTTGCATCTCCAAAATGTTCTTCATAATGTATACTGTCCAGCATACACTCATAAGTGCCAGTATGAAAACTTTTTTATCAAAGGTACAGATTAATTCCTGATTAACACGTAAATGCCAAAATTAAAAGGAACAAAGGAACTCTGCATGTTAGATAACATAACATTTGAAAAGGTCAGTAGAAAATAAAAGGAATGGTAAACTGCTCAAAAAAGCAGCTGAACCTTAGACATAGTATGACTGTAAGAGACAAGTGAAGTCTTACAGCCGTAGCGTACCAAAAATAAACAGATGCAGTTCAAAGACCAGTTTGAATGGACTGAGTAGCCTTATTCTCTCTGTAGTGGACAAATATTCCTTCCTTTCTGAAGGAAAATATGCATAATATCAAACAAAGAAATTCTAAAATTCTGAAGAAATGCATTTTCCTAAAACATTGTACGGGTGGTAATACTTGTGAATACTTTCCACTGTATGTGCCAGTGTCAAGAATGACTACATAAAAAGGAAATTGCTGAGGACAGGTAGTGATACCATGTGCACTTTTCCCTTCCCAAAAGAGCTATGGAAGCCATCTTGTCCATTACATGGACCACACGTTAGTATTTATGTTTCTCACTAGTTTTCTTATGCCAATGCATAACTTTCATTCCTTTAATTTTTAGGTCACTGATTGCAAGAGCTTAATAGGCCACTTTCCAGTCCTTCACAAAGCACAATTATATCCATCAAAGACTTTCAACTTTCTTTAAAAGGAAGTAAAATCATCGTAAAGTTTGAGATGTATGATCTCCTTCTAAATCAAATTTACTTGATTAAAAAGAATTGCATGCTGTAAAGTTCCGATATCTTAAGTTGAAAACCTTAGTTATTGCATTTTATGTTTCTAATAGAAATTGCTATAAGACAAGGTATTGAAATATATTTTAAACGTTTTCTTCTGCACATATTTGTGCTGGCTAAGCCATGCTAGTGAAAAAATCAATTTCACTGGCATACAGACGTGAAAAAGATGTATGAGAAGGAACTTAACTCTATTGTGTTTTTTGTGTTGAGTTCAGATCAAAATTTCAAACAATGACCAAAAAAAACCCCAAACAAAATCAGAGCAAACGTAACAATAAAACTCCCACAAACGCAAGAAAACAAAACAAGAACAGAAAACACAAACCACAAGATGATCATTTGTATAAAACAGTAGATCACAGGCATTTGGAACTTTGGATGTGCTGGATGGAGGAAATAAAACAGGGTAGATGGGGATTTGGACAGGCTAGGTTTTGACGCTGATGGTTGATGGGGTGAAGTCACTGAGAAACAGAATTGTCATGAAAAACTTAGTAATACCACATGCCAAACCAAAACCAATGGCTATGTCTATGCTGATAAATAAAACAGGGACAGAGATTAAAACAAAATGTGACTCTTTTTGGAGGTGGTCCCTGGAACAAATTAGACCCAGAACTCTGCCACATATTGACTCAGGAATAGTTGTTTGGAGAGATCTTCCCAGAGCCTGAGACTGATCCAACAGTTAAGCAGTGCCTACAATAAAGTATCAAAAACTCTATTTCTCTTCCCTCCCTTCTTTTATTTAGTATACAATGACAATTTGTACCATCTACCTAAATATTGCTAATGGTGGGAATAGCTGGGATAGCTACAATGGAGTCAAATGAAGGAATTCTTTGAGTTTTTAGAGCCTAGAAGACAGTGCTATGTTATAGACAGCTTCAGCTGGCTTTTCTGTTGGCTGCTGTTGACGCAGCAGTATGGCTATGCACTTAAAGTCAAGCTTTCCTGGAGCCTTCAAGCCAAGCCTGGTGCATGTCAGTTTCCCACTTCAACTGGACAAGAAGCACCACATTTCTCTACTTCAGTTTTGATAAAGTTCCCCCAGCCACATTAGCAAAGTATTAGAGGACATTTATAGAAGCATAATTAAATAGTCTCTC